TTTTTTTTTTTACCAGTATTTCTCATTCTCTGCTCACTTTCCTTTTTAACTCTTAAGCTGTTACCTGAGAAAAAATTATCTGTCCTCTTTTATCCTTCTCTCATTTCCAACCACATACTTGTTCGAAATTAAATGTAATTATGGGTAAGTGTTAAGAGTAGGGTTTATGATAAACCTGGAAAAGCAGTCATAAACTTTGACCTGAAACTCTATTAAAGAAGTAGTGCCAGCAACCTCCAGAGCCCTTGAATCCCCTTTGATCCATCTGTCAAAGAATTCATCTTCTTTCTCTAATGGGAACTATTCTCTCTAGCACCAGCAGTCAAATTAAAACAAAACAAAAACTTTGGGGAGCCAGCACTGTGGTGTGGCCAGTAGAGCTAACACCTGCAGTGCCAGCATCCCATATGGACACAGGTTTGTATCCTGGCTACTCCACTTCTGATCAGGCTCTCTGCTATGGCCTGGGAAAGAAGTAGAAGATGACCCATGTCCTTGGACCCCTGTACTCTCATGGGAGACCCAGAAGAAGCTCCTGGCTTTGGATCGGTGCATCTCCAACCATTGCAGCCAGTTGGGGAGTGAACCAGCGGATGGAAGACCTCTCTCTCTCTCTCTCTCTCTGCCTCTCCTCTCTCTGTGTAACTCTGACTTTCAAATAAATAAATAAATCTTAAAAAGGAAAAAAAAAAACTTTGGAAGATGACATTATCGGTACTCTGCCTTCTGATCTGTAAACAGATAAACAAAGAGCCTATTCACAGTGGTCCTAAGATTATTGTGAAAATTATTTGTTTAGAGTTGTATTTTGGTCTCTTCTGCTCTTGCTTCAATCTGAAAACATTACAGTGTGCCGAAGTGAAATGGAATTATATGCTTGGAAACTGGAGCAAAAATGTGGAAAAGCAATCTTTTTGTAGGTTAATAGTGTATGTGTTTGTGTGTGTGTGTGTGTTATTTGCTTGTGTGTTTGTCCTTCCCTCACAATTTGCCTACATCCTAATTTTCGGTGACATTCTGTTTTTGTGCTTTGGTAGCGATTCTGAATAAGTAGTTGTAAAAGAACAAGAAAGAAGAGAGCGTGAAAATCAAGAAATAACAGTCATTGGGCCATGATTAAATTTAGCTACACATTAAAATGACCTGTATATAATAACTTTTGGTATCCTTGAACCCTATGCTGACCATTTCAGATGCAAAATAGTCCTGAACGTATTCCAAGCGTCTTCTCCTTTACTGTCTTCTCATGACTCAGGTCATCGGTAGCAGTGCTGATACCTTACCAGCCCTGATTCTGGAGATGCTCTGGGGACTCCGTGGTGGCTCTGTGGCCCGCCCACACCGTGGTCGCATGCTTGTCAGCATTTGGGACTTTCCTCACCTGTCATCTGCTGACTCATGTGTTCTTGTATGCCTTGAAACCAGCAACTAAACCTGCTAGAACCATGTACAGACCAGAAGTGCTTCTTCTAATAATAAAAAATATGACATCTAAGGCACAGAATATTAACTTCTCTGCAGATCGCTTCCTCTTCCTGCATGATGACATTATTTTACCTAGCTTATCTAGCTGAGTGGCCATAGTGTTGAATCTTTGTTAGAAAATGCTGTTATACAGGTTCATGATCAGGCACAGTCCTTTCCCCTGCCCCGGCAGCCCCTGAGGATGTACAGGCCTCCACCCTGTGCCTCAGACCATACTGCCTTCCTTCTCACCTCCGGGCTCTCCCATTGCTTCCCTTTGCCTAGGATGCTCTTCTCACAACACTCAAAGAGTTCATTCCTCAGAGGTTGACCATAAGGCCCAGGTGACACTCATTGCAGGTCATTTTACTCATTATTTTAATTCTTGACAGTGTCCCAATTTGGAAGATTAATTATACTTTGATCCCACTTCTCATCCTTGCAGGTGTTAACTCAGATGTCACCTCCCCAGGTAGATCTTTCACCTTCTTCCTCAGGGGGCAGCTGAATAACCCTCAGGGCTTGGTCAGAGCCAGGCAGGTATGTGAGAAGTAGAGAAATTCAGGCTTCTTTCAGTGTAAGGACTCATGCCCAGGAGGAGGAGAGCAGGGAGCAGCCAGGTGCTGGGAAGGTGGGGAGGGCAGGGGAGGGAAGCAGCTGAAGCAGGGAGAAAGATCACGGGAGGGAGCGAGCTGGTGGAGGCCTGCATCTCAGACCAGCGTGACTGCACGGCATCCCTCCAGGGATCTTAGTTGGCCTCACCCCTCAAGCTGCAAGAGTCAGATTTGAGCATTTTTAAAAGAGAAGCACTGCGATTAGCTGGAAGAGGGCTGATCTGGGGAGAGGCTTCTGGTGAGGCTTGATTGTAACAGGATTACACTGAATAAACAAGCCTGAGTCTCTGGGTGGGAGGTTGTCCTGTTTGACAAAACCGTGGATTCACAGAAAGATGCTCTCAGCTCATTTCTTTCCCTTCTTGACCCTGATTGGTTTTCATGTTGGTGAAATGAAGACTACACCTGTGAAGTCCCTTTTAACTTTCACAAATATTTGATTCTGTTGCATGCTTAAAAGAGGCCAGCACTTTGAATTTCTACAGTGTTATTTTCTCTCATTGCAGGACAGAAAAGAAACTTCCAAATAAGGATGCATGAGCCATTCTGGGAAACAAAGAGAAACAATAACTAAAATGCAAGTGTAGCCCTTGCCCTGGCATGAAAAGAATGCAGCCTGCTAGCTGACCTAAAGGTTTCTGTTTTATTTCATATTTAGGTGAAATGGTCAGCTTTGACCATTATTCCCACAGAAGTTTATCTTCAGAATTGTGTAATACTGAGATGGTTGTATTATCTTTGAGAGGACTGGGGTCACTTTATTTATAAAACTGCCATGTTTATAGTGTATTAACCAGGAAAAGTACTTGAAAGCTTAAATTAAGAAAAATTAATCTAGGCTCACAAGTGATTATGGAAGACAGTCAGTTAACGCCCCGATGTCATGCTGTCCCAAACCTTCCTAGGTTATCTCCCAGTGGTTTAACGATCTGAACATAAATGAACATTTACAGAATTTGATGATTTGAGTCATGAGGTAGTACACAGACTGCCATTTTATTTTTATTATCTTTACTGACAGATTGTACATCTTTATGAGGTACAGTGTGACGTTTTGATACATTTATACATTATGTATTGATCAGCTCAGAAGATTTAGATTCTCATCACAAACATTTATCATTTATTTGTGATAAGAACATTGAAAATCCTTATTTCTAGCTGATTTGAATTATACAGTATGATGTTGTTAACTGTAGTCCCCCTCTCTGTAATAGAACATGAGAGCTTACTCGTACTCCTCTCTGCCATAAACTGTAACTCTCAGGAGTATATCCAACATGGGGAAATACTTGATATAAAGATAAATGAACAAAGTTGACTTGCAAAATTGTGTGCATCCCAATTGCAACTTTGAAAAAGCATAGTCATTGGTATCACAGAGTGTTTTAAAGATTTTTGAACTAGAGTATTTTGACTGAGCTCTCTACTTGTCCCAGTCTCTACCACTCCTTTTGTTTTTTACTTTGACCTTCAGACACTTATGTACCTGTCTGGCTCTGTAGGCAGTTGAATTTTTGACTCTGATTAAAAAAATGTTTCAAATTATATTAAAATAAAGATGATTTTTAATATCAGAAATTTAAATTAATATACTATAAATGTATGGTGAGGTAATAACTGATTTTCCTGGTTGCTTCCTGGGAAATAGGCCTTGAGACCCAGCTTCGTGTGCAGAGAGTTTGTGGGGGATGCCTTTGGGAACAGTACCTCCAAGGGGAGTGAAGGAAGTGGACTCAAATGGCGTCCAGCTGCAGCAGCTGCCTCGGCAGTTCCAGGGGAACTTGAGCAAAGCTGGTCCTTCACGGTGTCCCCGATTGAGGCCTGCTAGTCAGGTCTCTTGTTTCTCCCATAGGCCACAGGGAGCTTCTAGGGAGAATCTACTTCCTTGCCTTTTCTAGTGGTCTTTCTCCTCATTTCCTTTATGAACTCTACCCTGAAAGGGACATTTTGATATCCCCCAAAACAAACATTGACCTATTATTTTCTTCCTTAAAAAGTTCACTCCCAGGGAGTTGGCTCCACGGCTGACCACAAGTCCTGCCCACACATGACCCAGCTGACTCAGGTGGTCAGCGCCTAGGCCTGACTCACTCCCTTCCGTTCCTTGCTGCAGATGTTGTCAGGGCCTGTTTCCTGGGAGCTCATCTGGCCTGGACCTCTGCCTACCTCCTTTGTGACTGTGGTGGAGTGGAGAGCTCGGGTCACGGCTCGCTCTGCAGAGTGCAGGATGAAGTCAGAGGCCTCTTGAAGGCCTCGAGCTGCCCTTGCATTCTTCACCTTGGGTTTGGCGGAGAATGCTCCTCTGTTCTGGTCCGACTTGTTCGCCCTGGTCCTAACACTTTCAGTCTGCAGCCCCATGGAGGGAAGGGGAGTCCCCAGACAAGATCGGGTCATTCCTAGGCTCCTGACTCTGATAACATCATCAAACTGTCAAAACCCTTCACTTCCTCCACTTGGAGGACATTGGCTCAAAGCCAGCCCAGTCTACAGAATTATGACGTTTAATAAATACGTCTGGGTGTGGAGCCCTTTTCATTAATTGGTGATCTATTTTCAGTCTTTTCATGCTTTTCTTACCTCAGGTTAATTTTCTTCCCTCAGTGTTCTCTTCTGTTGTTAGGTTTTCCCATTATATTGGATCTTGCCAGTCTTCACATCCCTTACGTTTTTAAAAATTGTGTTCGTCTCAGTGGTTTTTTTTACACTCTAAACAGTGGATTTCCTTTGTTGCTCTTCTCATTTGTTGAATTTTCAAATAGTGTTTAGTATTTCTGGTAATAATTATTTTGCATGTGAAATCAGATTTTCCTGATGTCACATTTTTCTCTCTCTTTTATGATTGATTTATTTATTTGAAAGGCAGAATTAGAGAAAGGGAGGGTTGAAGGGAGGGAAAGAAAGAGAGATGGGATGGGGAAGAGGAAGGGAGGGAGGGAGAGAGAGAGAGTGCTTGATCTTCCATCCACTGGTTCACTCCCTTAAATGGCTGCAACAGCTGAAGCTGAGCTGATCCAAAGCCAGGAATCAGGAGCTTCTTCCAGGTCTCCCATGTGGGTGGCACCGGCACAAGGACTTGGACCATCTTCCTCTGTTTTCCCAGGAGCATTAATAGGGAACTGGATTAGAAGTGGAGCAGCTGGGGCTTGAACCTGCACCTAAATAGGATGCCAGCGTCACAGGCAAAGATTTAACCTGCAACTCCACAAAGCTAGCCCTGCATGTTCTCTTTTAATGAAAGTCATTTCCTTTTTTTTAATAAGAATTTTTTGAGCAGCAGAGAGAAAAAGAGCTCTCATCTGCGATTCACCTCCTAGATGCTTACAATGGCTGGGGCTGGGCCATGCTGGAGCCAGGGACTGGGAACTCAACCCAGGTCTGCCGCGTGGGTGGCAGGGACCCAATCACTTGAGTCATCACTGATGCTTCCCAGAGCCTGCATTAGCAGGAAGACAGAACTGGGAGCCAGAGCTGCCTCTCCACCCCTGGCACTCTGGTAAGGGATGCAGGTGTCCTGAGAGCTTAACCTTTAGGCCAAACACCTGCCAAACTCATTTCCTCTTAAGTCATACTGAAAATGTGGATGAGAGACTTTGTAAAGGGCTGTTCACCACACTGGTCTTGTTGGGTATCTTGGTATCTGTCTTAGTTCACACTTTTTCTTGTTACAATAAAACACCTGAGGCTGAGTATCGTTTAGCTCACAGTTTGGAGGTCTGCTATGGTTTGAATATGGTTTGAATGTGTCCCCCAAGGGTTCGTGTACTGGAAACTTATTCCCCAGTGTGGCAGTGTTGAATTAGTGGGAACTTTTAAAAGGTGGGGCCTATTGAAAGGTAGTTAGCTCATTGGGGTCGCTGATCTCAGAAGGGATTAATATAGTTCTTGCAGTATCTTGTTTAGTTCCTAGGAGAACAAATTATTATAAAAAGAGCAAGCCTGGTCTCTGAATCTCTCTGGCGTCCCATCTTGCCATATGATTGTATAATCCTTGCCATTATGATGTCCTCTGCCAGAAAGCCCTCCCCAGGGACTGGACTGATTGAGCCACCTGATTTCAGTCTTTTGGCTTCCAAAATTCTTTGTTTATATGTTATCCAGCCTCTAGTGTTTTGCTACAACAGCAGAAAACAGATTAAGACAAGGTTCTAGAGCATAGTGCCAGGGGCTGGTGCTATGACGCAGAGAGTTAAGCCACCACTGCCTGCAATGCCAGCATCCCATTTGAGCACTGATTTGAGTCCTGGCTGCTCCATTTCCAATCCAGCTTCCCGCTAATGCATCTGGGAAGGCATCAGAAGATGGCCCAAGTGCTTGGACCCCTGCCACCTGCATGGGAGACCCAGATGGAGTTCTAGGCGCCTGACTTAAACCTGGCCCAACCCTGGCTGTTGCAGCCATTTGGGGGAATGAACCAGTGGATAGAAGATCTCTCTCTCTCTCTCGCTCTCTCTCCACCTCTTCCTGTATGTCTCTCCTTCTGACACTCTGCATTTCAAATAAATAAGTCTTAAAAAAAAATTTGAGCTGAGTCTTTTTTTTAAAAGATTTTATTTACTTATTTGAGAGGTAGAGTTATAGATAGTGAGAGGGAGAGGCAGAGAGAAAGGTCTTCCTTCCATTGGTTCACTCCCCAGATGGCCGCAATGGCCAGAGCTGAGCTGATTTGAAGCCAGGAGCCAGGAGCTTCTTCCGGGTCTCCCATGCGGGAGACCATCCCAAGCACTTGGGCCATCCTCCACTGCCTTCCCAGGCCACAGCAGAGAGCCGGATTGGAGGAGGGGCAGCCAGGACCAGAACTCAACGCCCATATGGGATGCCAGTGCCGTAGGCAGAGGATTAACCTACTGTGCCATGGCGCCAGCCCCGAGCTGAGTCTTTATTTTATATATTTTACTTGAGAGGCACAGTTATAGAGAGGGAGAGACAGGAATCTTCCATCCATTGGTTCACCCGGCAAATGGACACAGTGACAGGGCTGGACTGGACTGAAGCCAGGATCCAGGAGCCTCTTCTGGGTCTCCCATGCAGGTGCAGGGGCCCAAGCACCTGGGCCATTCTCTGCTGCCTTCCCAGGAGCATCAGCAGGGAGCTGGATTGGAAGAGCAACCAGGACTTGAACCGGCACCCATATGGGATGCTGGCACTGCAGGCAACGGCTTAACCCGCTATGGCACAGCACTGGCCCCAATATTTTTAAATCTAAACTTTTTGTCTTACTGTGTTATACTGCTCATTTTCTATAAAATTATAAAGAAATGTGTTAGGAAAATAAAAGCACTTGTGAGCCTGCCATTCTATGACTATTGACATTTCTTTGTAGTGTCATTGTTGAGCCATTTGCTTATATATGAGAGGGCAGTACAAAAGTTTTATGGAAATGGAATTAAAATATATTAATTAAAGGATAAATTCCATGTGTTCAAGGGGTCTTTAAAATGTTAATGAAAAATGCTTAATGAAAAAAACTATGCCTCGATTTCAAAATTTTTTGCATCAAGGTAAACATGTTTTAATTCCATTTTTCATAAACTTTTTGAAGTAGTCATGTGTCTATGTGTGATTTTACACATATTTTAAAATCATACTATAAAAAAGCCATACTGTATATTCAAATTCATATCCTGACTTATTTTTGTATTGTAACTTTGTATATAATTAAATATTTCTAAGTACTCTTAACATCTCCATTAAATTTTGCTGTAAGTAGTACCATAATTTATTTAATCCTTACATTATTAGGTCCAATTTTTTTTCTATATTTTGAATGCTAATATGTAAATCTGTTTAAGTATTTGAATTTTTCTTCAGGTCAGGAGTGCTTCCCCTCTGTTTATTTTCAGAGATGTCAGAGCAGACAGAAGTGCTCCCCACGTCCGAGTAGAGGAGGTCCCATTCACTTCCAGGTTCTGGAATAGAAACTTCTGTGTCTTCCTCTGCAAGATGATTTGTTTGGGTGCTGAGGGTAAACCCATTTTAGCAAAGAAATAGTGTGATCCACTTTGAGGGGGATTTAACCACGAGAGTGACAGAGTGAGAGCGAGAGCGCGAGAGCAAGCCGTATCAAGCCAAACATTTGGAACAAGCGTAACTAAATCGCAGACAGAAGAAAGGATTTACCAGAATAAAGGGTTACTATTCCTGACTTAAAACTTCTACTACATGGGGTGGGTGTTTGGCAGTTAAAATGTCTGCATCCCACCAAGGAGTCCCTGGGTTCACTACCTGTCTCCCCCTCCTAACTCTAGCTTCCTGCTAATGTGCACCCTGGGAAGCAGCTCATGTAGTGGGTCCCAGCCACCCATGTGGGAGACCTGATTGAGTTCCCAGCAACCGGCTTTGACCATCCCAGCCCCAGTTGTTGTGGGCGTTTGGAAAGTAAACCCACAGATGGGATCTTTGTGTGTCTTTGGTCTGTCTCTCTATCCTTCAAAAAAGTAATTAAAATTTTTAAAATAAATAAAAACTTTTATTAGATGAAATACAAAGAATAGCCATCCCTGTTGAGAGCTGAATTAGTTTTCTTCAAAGAGTGTCTTATAAAACACAAAGATAGAGACATAGGAATGTATCAGAGATGAGACGCCTAAAAACCAACGTAGGAGACCCAGGATTCCTAGAAGGGCACAAAGGAACAGTTGGGTAAGGCAAGATAAGCAAATAGAAGAAAACCTGAGGTGAAGAACATTTTAGACTTCAGAATGAAAGGACTCATGGAATTCTGGAAAAATAGTTAATTGCTGGACTGCCATAAAAAATAAATAAAGATTAAATAAATATATAAAAATAAATATATTAAAATATAAATATATTAAAATTATTTTAAAATACATAAAGATAAATAAATAAAGCAATAAAGAGAAATCCTGCCAACTGGTAGACAGGAAGACAGGTCAGCTTTGAGGAGAGTTACGAGGTATGGAGGTTCTCATCTGCTCCATGACACAAGAAGAGACAGCAGAGTCGCAGGGATTAGTGACTCTAAAAACCCTAGAATGAGTCTCCTGTATTTGTCTATATCAACCTGGGTTCTTTCTTGCAAGCCACAGAAGCTGATTTCAGTTGATTTAGGAAGAAAAACATTTTTTACAGGATAAAATGTTGTTGGAGAGCCAGAAAGCTAGGCTGGGAGGCTCTGCAGCCAGAAACAGGCCTCCAGTCTCATGCAGAACTGGCCCAGGCGGGACGCAGCTGCAGAGTCCCTGGGCATATTTGGTGCAGCTTGTGCCAGGCACTGCTGGCGTTGGACATCTGCAGGAGTCCTTGGCCCCTGCTTGCCAGAACCTTGATCTCGCAGCAATCACCGTTGCTGCCAGTGGGCATTTCTCATCATTGTCCTTACTTTGCAGCATTAGGACGAGTGTAAATGATAGGAGTGTCAAGGGGACTTCTTAGCACAAGGTGGCACCAACAAAGTAGGCAGCTGGCATATACAGCTTGTTTAAAGGGAGGTAGACCCTGCCTTCAGCTGGGACTGATAAGGTGAAGGAAGTCTCCAAGCATAGGAAAGAAAGGTTCAAAGGTGAGGTAGTCAGAAAGAATGTCATAATCAAATACTTCGCCTAAGATATCATTCAGTGAATCAGGGCAAAAGAAGATATTCTTACACTTCAAGTTATTTATCAACAGATGCTCGAATGTCCAATTAGATATTGGTCCAATTGGATCAAAATAGAAATATCAAGCTAGAGGAAGTTATAAAGTATTTGACAGTGGTTAACAGTGAATCTTATATACATTGTATACATAAGCTGCCTGTTACATAAACTGTGTACGTTGTATATGTAAACTGTGTATTTATATACATAAACTGTATGTGTTGTATATGTTAATGTGTATGTTGTGTACATAAAATAGAGTATGTTGATGTGGCTGAAAATTCACCATGTAATTGTAAATAAAATAAGGATTCCTGAGAAGGAGGATCAGACTATAAAGGGAAAAATCTAAGAAATAGCCTGCAACTAAAAAGTCTGAACTATTTCAGTAGAAACTGAGATTAGGGATGGGGCATACAAGGCATTCTCTTGTAAAATTCTCTAAAGATCTCTACTGGTGAGAGATTGGGGAGCATAGTTATTTAATTTTGATAAAGATTTGGTTTAGACTGTCAGGAATGGCAGGTAAACACTGACAGACTAAAAGAATTTAGTATTCTCAAAATAACAGGGATTGAGGATAATAATGAGGAGCAAATTGGTCAGAAAAGAGTAAAGAGAAAGAGTATCAACTTACCAGAAACGAGGAAAGGCAAAAAAAAAAAAAAAGAAGAAACGAGTATGTAAACAAAATGAAGTAGAAGCAATAAAACCAGATAAACAGTCCATAATAAATATTCTTAAACTACACTAACCTGTCCAAAAGCAAAGATCAGCAGTGTTAGCATCAAAACCAAATGCAAAAACGAAAGCAATGAATGAGACAGAGTTACTATATACTGATGAAAACCAAAAATCTTCAACTGTCTTTAACATTTAAATGGCAAAATACAAAGAGTGAGTCGAAAGAATTTATTTAAAATCATATTATACTCAGAGGCACTAATTCTGTGTCTTTTTTAATTTGACAAGTCAAGTAAACTAGATTGCCAGCTCCATGCCCGAGGGGCCAGTGTGTAGCGTGAATATGTGAGTTAGGGGCAGAAGACAACGGGGCTGATGGGAGTTGCACAGTGAACTGTATAATGTATGCTTTGCCTGAAGGCAGTAGGATTCATACATTTTAAAGCACTTTGCTGGCCAGACAGAGCAGATCTGTAGTTTATAGGCTGCTAATTTTCAACCTCTGAAACAAACAAATAAAAAATATAAAGATGTCAAACACCCACAAAAGTATGGACCAAGGAATATGCATTCTTCCTCTAGGTTCAGGGAGTATTTAGACAAGTGCATCCTAGACTTTGTCACAGAAAACAATTAAAATATAAAAATTAAGACCTTATAGGCAGTAACTTATCATCTTAATCCACTGAAATTAGAAGTTTAAAGAATGCTGTTTTAAAAAATGCCTTTTAAAAATAGCATCTGCATCAAAAGAAAATCAAAACAGAAATTGTAAACCATTTAGAAACAAACAGAAAGAGGAGAGTATTGTAGGAATATCTGTAGAATAAAACTAAAGTTATATTTTAGGAAAATGTATAATTATAGATGCTTTCATTAGTGTCAGAAAAGAAAAAACCAAAAACTGTATGAGTGAAATATCCAACTTACTAAAAACTAGAAAAAAAGAAATGGATAATGATAAAAGCTAAAGTGAATGATATAGAAAACATCATGTAATAGAGAAGATAAATAAGATCAAACATGAGATTTTTAGAAAGGCAAATAATGGAGATTGTCCCAGATAAAAAGGTATGGAAGAAATGAAAAATTAAATCTGTAACAATGCATTTGAAAAATGGGGTGTAATGAGCAATTTTCCCTCAAAATATAAATTTGCAGAATTTTTCCTAGAAAAAATATAGAATCTGAAATACCATCTCTAGTAGTTAACATTGTATTGGTCCTAATGCAATAAGACAGAATTTGTTTTAAATCCTCAAAAAAGAATTTATGATTATCTGTATGATAAATATTAAACAACAATGATTTCACAATAACTGGTTAGCATTATAAGGTAAAAAAAAAGTCTAGTTCATAATTGCCATACAGTATCTCTGAATAATTTTAACTAGATAATTGTAGGATACAAAGTGAAAAGTATTAAATCTCACTTGAAGTAATGAAGAAACTTCACAGTGTTCTAGAATGAGCAAGACTTATTATAAAGTCTTTAATTCTTCCCAAATAGCCTGGATATGAGACTACTTACTTCTCCAGAATTTTTTTTTTTTTTGAGATTTATTTGTTTTGAAAGGCAGAGTTACAGAGAGACAGAGAATCAGAGAGAGAGAGGGAGGGAGGGGGGAAAGGAGAGGGAGAGGGAGGGAGAGGGAGAGGGAGGGAGAGAGAGAAAGAAATCTTCCATTTGCTGGTACACTCTCCAAATGGCCACAATGGCCAGTATTGAGCCAGACTGAAGCCAGAAGCCAGGAGCTTCTTCTGGGTCTCCCACATGGATACAGGATCCCAAGTACTTAGCCCATCTGCTGCTGCTTCCCCAAGTTCATTAGCAGGGAGCTGGATCAGAAGTGGAACATCCCAGACTTAAACTAGTGCCTGCTACACCACAGCATCAGCCCCCAGGATTTTTCATCCGAGCAAAGTAAACTCCTTATATTCAAGCCTTACAAAAAGAATCTTTTTAAATGGAATGTTACTTTGAATAACAAAGTAATGTTTAGGAAAGACAGACTGAAATAAATCTCAATCTTTTTAAATTTTAGAGTTTTATAGATGACACTTGACAGAGTTGGTTTGGAGAAATTTAATACAAATTCAGTACTTCTTGGATACGGTCTTATAGATACAGGTGTTACATATTGTTAAACTGAGGCTTGAAAAGATTATATAACAGTAAATAAGTAGTTAGGTTGTAGAAGTCACAAATACATACAGGAAGAGGGCCGGCGCCGCGGCTCACTAGGCTAATCCTCCGCCTAGCGGCGCCGGCACACCGGGTTCTAGTCCCGGTCGGGGCGCCGGATTCTGTCCCGGTTGCCCCTCTTCCAGGCCAGCCCTCTGCTGTGGCTAGGGAGTGCAGTGGAGGATGGCCCAGGTGCTTGGGCCCTGCACCCCATGGGAGACCAGGAAAAGCACCTGGCTCCTGGCTCCTGCCATCGGATCAGCGTGGTGCGCCGGCCGCAGCGCGCCGGCCGCGGCGGCCATTGGAGGGTGAACCAACGGCAAAGGAAGACCTTTCTCTCTGTCTCTCTCTCTCACTGTCCACTCTGCCTGTCAAAAAAAAAATAAATAAAAATAAAAAAAAAAAAAAACAAATACATACAGGAAGAATTTGTTTTAGAAAATTGACCTACTGGCTGGCGCCGCGGCTCACTAGGCTAATCCTCCGCCTGCGGCGCCGGCACACCAGGTTCTAGTCCCAGTCGGGGCACCGGAGTCTGTCCTGGTTGCCCCTCTTCCAGGCCAGCTCTCTGCTGTGGCCCGGGAGTGCAGTGGAGGATGGCCCAAGTCCTTGGGCCCTGCACCCCATGGGAGACCAGGATAAGTACCTGGCTCCTGCCTTCGGATCAGCATGGTGTGCCGGCTGCAGTGAACTGCCATGGCGGCCATTGGAGGGTGAACCAACGGCAAAGGAAGACCTTTCTCTCTGTCTCTCTCTCTCACTGTCCACTCTGCCTGTCAAAAAAAAAAAAAAAAAGAAAAGAAAAGAAAAAAGAAAATTGACCTACTATTACATAAATATATCTTTGTGACTTGGTAAGACATTTTCAGTGACAGCTTTATACCATGACTGGATTCACTCAGTGCCACATCTCACACAGCTCTTGTGTTTCTCTGCAAATCAGAATAGCTAACTTAAAATTTGCTCTAGTAATGATGAAGATAGTGATGTAGAACATACAAGTGATAAGTTTGGGTAAACATTTTCTTGAACTATAAGATCAATATTTCTAAATGAACATATTTTATATAATATTTAAAAGATGCATATACAAATAAATATGTGTTATATATTTATATTATGTAATGACTATAAATAAATACATACTAATATATACATTAGAAGTGGGAATATGACTATTTGCAGCAATAAAAACTTATTTAAGTTGATCAAAAAGCTTGTTTCTTTTTGGTTTGCTCTTATTAAGAAATGAGTATCACTTAATATTCAAAGTCACTCTCTGTGTTAGGATTAAATATGGCTGCAAGTGACAGAACCACCAAAATAAAAGTGGCTTATTTTGGGGCTGGTGCTGTGGCACAGCTTAAGACCTGAGTGCTCCACTTCTGATCTAGCTCCCTAGTAATGGCCTGGGGAAAGCAGCAAATTGGCCCAAATACTTGGGCTCCTGTACCCGCATGGGAGACTTGAAAGAAGCTCCTGGCTCCTGGCTACTTCATCAACAACTTAAGTAAGCTTTTATTGCTGCAAATAGTCATATTCCCACTTTTAATTTATATATTAATATGTATGTATTTATAATCATTACATAATATAAATACAAAAACATTCAAATAAATATTTATCTTTAAAGGTTAATTTCTTATTTATTTTTGAAAGGTGGTGTTACAGAGAGGGAGGGAGAGACAGAAAGATCTTCTATCTGCTGGTTTACTCCCTAAATGGCCGCCATGGCTAGGGCTGAGTCAGGCCAAAGCTAGGAGCCAGGAGCTGCTTCTAGGTTTCCCCCGTGGGTGCAGGGGCCCGAGCACTCTGCTTTGCCAGATGCATTAGTAGGGAGCTGGATCGGAAGTGGAGCAGCCAGGCTCAAACCGCTGCCCATGTGGGATACCAGTGTTGCAGGTGGAAGTTTTGTTTTTTTTTTTTTTTTTTTTTTTTTTTTTTTTTGACAGGCAGAGTGGACAGTGAGAGAGAGAGACAGAGAGAGAAAGGTCTTCCTTTGCCGTTGGTTCACCCTCCAATGGCCGCCGTGGCCAGCGCGCTGCGGCCGGCGCACCGCGCTGATCCGATGGCAGGAGCCAGGAGCCAGGTGCTTTTCCTGGTCTCCCATGGGGTGCAGGGCCCAAGCACCTGGGCCATCCTCCACTGCACTCCCTGGCCACAGCAGAGAGCTGGCCTGGAAGAGGGGCAACCGGGACAGAATCCAGCGCCCTGACTGTGTGCCGGCGCCGCAAGGCGGAGGATTAGCCTAGTGAGCCACGGCGCCGGCTGCAGGTGGAAGTTTAACCTGCTATGCCACAACGCTGACCCTAAATCTTTACTTTAAAAAAAAATTTTAGAAAAGATTTATTTATTTGAAAGGCAGAGTTACAGACAAACACATATACACACTGGTTGGGGAGGGGAAGAGAGAGAAATCTTCTATCTGCTGGTTCACTCCTCAAATGGCTGCAATGGCAGGGGATGGACCAGGCTGAAGCCAGGAAGCAGGAAGTCCATCTGGGTCTCCCACATGGGTACAGGGGCCCAAGAACTTGGGTCATCTTCTGTTGCCCTCCCAGGTGTGTTAGCTGGGAGCTGGATCAGAAGTAGAGCAGCGAGGACTCTAAATGGTACTCATATGGATTGCAGGCATTGCAGACAGTGGCTTAACCCACTGTGCCATGATTCTGGCCCCAAGGACACATTTCTTATGTAGAATTCTGGGGGTGTGGTCCAGGTCTGGCTGGCCTGGTACTCAACCGGATAGAACCCTGGCTCCTGGTGACTTCTAGCTCTACTGTGTGAGGCCTTAACCACATGATCTAAAGTGGTGGCCATTTTCTCCCAGGCAGCAGGTTGAAGGAAAGGGGTAAGGAGAGAGAGCAGAGGTAATTCATGCAGTGCCTATAAAGCAGACCTTCCAGGAAATGCTTCATCCATTGGCCTGGTCACACACCACAGAAGATGCTGAGAATGTCTCTCTGGTACCACATGCGCAATGAAAAGTTGTGTTACTGAGGAAGAAAAAGAGAAGGAATACTGGGGTACAGCTAGCTTCTATCTGCACATACGTACTCCAAGGAAAATATGGTAAAATATCCCTATTTTGGGGCTGGCACTGTGGTGCAGCAGGTTAAAGCCTCCAGCCTGCAGTGCCGGCATCCTCTATGGGCTCTGGTTCAAGTCCTGGCTGCTCCCTTCCGATCCAACTCTCTGCTTGTGGCCTGGGACAGCAGTGGAAGATGGGCCAACTCCTTGGACCCTGTACCTCTATGGAAGACCCGGAAGAAGCTCCTGGCTCCTGGCTTTGGATCAGCTCAGCTCTGACCGTTGCAGTCATTTGGGGAATGAACCAGTGGAATGGAAGACCTCTCTCTCTCTGGCTCTACGTCTCTCTGTAACTCTCTTTCAAATAAATAAAATAATTATTTTTAAAAATCCCTATTTTAAGTTCATCTATAAACAAATGAAACGAAACACCGAAAGAGGTGGTGTAGAGGCCAATAGGCAGTAGGGCGATAAACAGTTCAAATGATGAAAAAGGAAAAACAAAATATTCAGCATCAGTAGTAATCAGAGAAATGCAAATCAAAAGAAGCATTTTTCATCCTTCAAAAAGAATAATTTCCTCAGGCATTTGGCAGAGCAGTTAAGATACCACTTGAGATGCCTGCATCCCATATCAGAGTGGCTGGTTCAAGGCCTAGCTCTGCTTCCAACTTCAACTTCCTGCTAATATGCACCCTGAGAAGCAGTGGTGATAGTTCAGACAGTTGGGTCCTTACACCCATGTAGGAAACCTGTATTGAGTTACCAGCTTCTGGCCTCAGCCTGGTCCAGCCCCAACTATTGAAAGACATTTGGGAAGTGAACCAGTGGATGGAAGATCAATCTGTATCTATCTCTTTCTGCCTTTCAAATAAGTACATTAAAAATTTTTTAATTGCCAGTACTGGTATAAGGGCAGCACACATTGCATATCGCTTCTGAAATGCAGATTTCAGAATCTTTTGAATTTTGAAATATTTGCATAAACTTTACAGCTTGAGCATCCCTAATGGAAAAATCCAAAATCGAAATGCTCCCAGATCAGAAACTCTGAAAGAGTTTTTCATATTAGTAATGTTCAATCCGTACTCCCATATGTTGCTGATAGTGTGTGAATGATTTGTGGTCTTTTTTGGAAAGCATTCTGGCAGTAGGTACTAGGATTGAAAATATGTGTTCCTTTTGAGGAATCCAAGAATTCTGTCCTCTAGAAATGAAAGCACTAGAGATCTATATCATACATGTAGTAAAAGTTTGCTAATTGCAGTGCTTTTTGATAGTACATGAAAACTAGAAATAGTCTGAATGCCACTCAGTAGATGTTGGTTGAATAAATTATACATCATTTTTATAAATTTTTTATTATTAATAAGAACAAGTTAGATGTTTTCACTGCCCTAGAAGGCTATAAGTAAGATGTGTTCTACAGCAATAAAATACAATTTAGAAAGGACTGTTTACAGGTTTAAGTTATATGTGTGTGTGCGCTATGATCTCAAGCCAAAAAACAAAAACAAAAAAACCCTAAGCATGTTTGTGTGAACATGGAGAGTCTTGGAAGAACACATTCTTTCCAGCCTGTGTTAATGATCATCTCAGGCAAGCAAAGGATTTTTTTGATTTTTCTTTTAGAAAGAGTATCTGTTGGGCTTGACACTGTGGCGCAGCGGGTTGAAGCCCTGGTCTACAGTGCCAGCATCCCATGTGAGCGCAGTTCGAGTCCTGGCTGCTCCACTTCCAATCTAGCTCCCTGCTGATGCTCCTGGGAAAGCAGCAGAGGATGGCCCAAGTCCTTGGGCCCCTGCACCCACATAGAGGACCTGGAGGAAGCTTCTGGCTCCTGGCTTTGGATTGGCTCAGGTCCTGCCATTGCAGCCATTTGGGGAGTGAACCAGCAGATGGAAGACCTCTCTCTCTGTAACTGTGTCTTTCTAATAAATAAAATGAATCTTTTTTTAAGAATATGTATTATTTCTATCTTCTGGGGATGGAAGAGTTTAGTGATTAAGGATATGAACTTTGGAGCCCACATTCCATGGGTTTGAATTCCAGCTCAAGTTGTTTATAACCTTGGGTAAATTATCTGACTCAAGTGTACCTCAGTTTCTTCCTTGGTAAAATAGAACCTATTGCCCAGGGTGTTAAATGAGTTAATATACATAAAGTCTTCTCAGAGAGCTGTGGTGTTTTTGTTTTGTTTTGTTTTATTTTGTTTTTTGACAGGCAGAGTGGACAGTGAGAGAGAGAGACAGAGAGAAAGGTCTTCCTTTTGCCATTGGTTCACCCTCCAATGGCTGCCGCAGCCGTCGCACTACAGCCGGTGCATCGCGCTGATCCAATGGCAGGAGCCAGGTGCTTTTCCTGGTCTCCCATGCGGGTGCAGGGCCCATACACTTGGGCCATCCTCCACTGCCTTCCCGGGCCACAGCAGAGAGCTGGCCTGGAAGAGGGGCAACCAGGACAGAATCTGGCACCCTGACCGGGACTAGAACCCGGTGTGCCGGCGCCGCAAGGTGGAGGATTAGCCTAGTGAGCCATGGCGCCGGCGAGAGTTGGTTTTAAAATGTAAAACATTAACAATATAAGTCAAGGTTGAAGAAAGGTCATATTCTTTCTGGAGTAAAATGCTGAGGAATTTTCATCTATTTTAGAGCTTGATTTTAAAAAAACATAGTGAAGCAAGAAAATATTCCTTCATCATGCCTTGCCTCCTTTGCATTAGAATGAATAAATGGAGCTAGCTACTTCAAAAAGTGAAATATCCAGAGTCCAAGTTCACCACTGAGTGGACTTTACGGGTGTCTTTACTGTAGCTTTAGAGCCAGTTTTCAGTAGAATTCACATAGGCTTCTATGTCTAGACATCCTAGTGATGCAAATGTCGGTATTGGAAAAGGGGGTACATGATGAGTGTTTTTTGAGATAAAGATTTATTACATTGGCCTCCCAGGTGTGTCAGATTGTATTTTCCCATCCCACATGCTCTTCTACATGACCTTGTCACTTCCTCTGTCAGGGAATCCACATCTTGAATCTGGGCAGGCTGGGATCACCTCTGCTGTAGAATAAGGTAAAGGTGACCGTGTCTGCCCAGGCTGGGTTATGAAAAGCTGAGCACATCCCCTTGTTCGCAGGAGCACTAGGCATTTGCTAACAAGTCCCTCTCTACTCTGAGTCCATTATGCTAGAAAAGCCACTGTATAGTACTCTGACAGACAACCCATTTGAGCTCCACCTGATGCCCCATGAGTGGGCCTGTGGGACATCGAGCCCAGCCAAACCTTCAAATGACTGCAGCCCAGCCAGCGTTACACTGCAGCCACCTGAGGACATGTAAGTGAGAACAGCCTCGGCATGCTATTCCTGAGTTCTCCACCCACAAAATCATGAGGAAATGAAATGGTCTTGTTAAGCTATGAAGTTGTGGGGAAGCTTGTTATGAAGCAATGGTAACTGGAACTTGAGAGTTCAGCACACGGTGTCACTGAGAGGATGAAGTTCACTCACTCCTGTCGCAAGAGCCTTTCCAGAGCCAGCCCCAGTGGCTTGCTGCATGCAGAAATGCTGGCCAAGTGATGTCCTAGAAGTCTTAAAATTTGGTGTACTGGTTTTTTTTAAATTTAACATTGCATATTATGTATTATTCACACAAACATGCACAAAATACTTATATAAATTTCATTTTATGTTTTCTAGTGTCCTCTGCCAGAGTCTGAGGTCTTTTGTTTTCAGCTACTACACAGTAGTTCCTCCTCACCTGATTTCACTTTCTGTGGTTTCACTTCTGTGTGATCAGCTGTAATCCAAAAATATTGAATGGCAAGCTCTAGAAATAATTCATAAATTTTAAATTGCACACCATTCTGAGTGCCATGAGGAAATCTCAAACTGTCGTGGTATGTCCTGCCTGGGACATGAATCCCCCTTTTCCGGAGCATGCACTCTGTAGACACTGACCATCCTCCAGTCACTTAGTAGCTCACTTGGTTATCAGCTCGATGGTTGCAGTGTCACAGTGCTTGTGTACAAATACCCTTAGGTAGTAGCATAGCACTGTGTCATAGTGCCTGTGTCATTCGCCCCACTTCGTATCATTGTATCACCTCTCATCATCACAAGAAAGGTTAGGAACTCTTGGGTAATTCACTATTTCCCCACTTTCAGTGTATTGGCTCTGAAAGTTTGGCCTCAGTGAGCCAGAGATAGAACAGAGCCAATCAGAATGAAATGCAAGATGTTTGATGGGATTTCCAGGACAGCGTTAACATCTCTCCACATTCGATGGTGTGCTGATCTGAGGCCTGAAGCTGCCGTCATGAAGGCAGGCAGCACATTGACAAAGGTGACCTGTGGAAGAGGGCAGGAGCCGAGGTGGAGAGAAACTGACCCCGAGAACATCTTCCCATCCAGCCAGACCTACAGTTCCATCTGCTCCTAGCCTTCCAGTTGCATGGGCCAGACACTTTTCTGTATCGTTGCAGTTTTGAGTTGGGTTTTCTGTTGCCCCTAACTCATCAGGACCACATCTGCAGTATTTTTGAGGATCTGAGTACCGTTTCAGAGAGGCCTTGGGACATAGATCATGCAATTAATGGACCCTGGGTCTTACGAGGTCTGAGGGGGGAAGGAGGCAGAATTGGGAATGTTTTGAATGAAGAATAGAAGACCAACAGAAAACAAAGCTGCCCTCAGATACTCAAATGTCATGTGGAAGAAGCAATACATTTGTTCTTTGTGGTTCCAGATTGTGTCAGAACTGGAACTACTGTGTGATATGGTAATGAAGATAGAATTCAGCTCCATATAAAGAAGAATTGTCCAACTGTTTGAGATGAACAGCAGTGGAAAGGGCTGTCTGATGCTGCATTTTCTTTCCCTGAGAATATTCCATGGTGACTGAAACATGAGAGATCAGTAAATGGCAGCGGAAGTTGGACGCCATTGACTCTACTGAGTGAGGAAGAATGTAGCATTGGGATTTCTCTGTTCCTTCCAGTTCTGAAATGTGATTTTGTACTTCCTTGGCTATCAGATTTACTGCTTCTATGGCCGTGGGACACATGAAAACCTCCCGTACTCTTAGTGTCCGAACCTGAAAAAATTATGGTAATAATTCTTTTGCCAAATGATTTTTCTAAGCCTCAAATGAACATATTTGAAAGTGTTACAAAAACCAGAGCTGTATGCAAATGTCAAGTGCTGTTTTCATTTCTTACATAGGAAATTCTGATTTAAAGAATTTGGACAGTTCCTTAAAATCCTTTGTATGTTTTGACCCATGGGTGGTTCATAAAAACAAACCAAAAAGAGAGATGTTAATTTAAATACTTGAAAGTGGAACTTAGCCTGCTCAGTCCATCTAATTCTCTAATTTCTCCCATTGCAAATTCAGACAAATTTCCTATCTTACCATGGTGGAATGTGGACATTTCTTACTGATCTGAGACAGAGCTATAACTGAGCCAGCTGTACAATTCTAGGGAATCAGGAGTTCAGTTGTGGTCTTGACTAAGTCATTCTGGTTTGCAATGAGCCTCACAAACCTAGAAGTTGAGCCTCTCTCGAAAGCGAGGTTGCACATGGAGAGGCAGATCTCTGTTCATTAAAACCCTGTGTCCATCAGTCCCTTCTCAGTGTTTGCTGCCTGGAGACTGCAGCTTTGTTTTCCCACGGTGCTGGGAATTTTCTGTTTGGAGGTGCCAAATTCTCGATTTAGGCAACGAGAATTTTCCCTTGGCCCAAACACTGGGCAGGGAGATTAATGCAGGGAGAATTATGGAACCAAGTATTCCTCTGTCCACTTCACTTTGAATGGAAAGTAGGCATCCTGGCCTGCCCCACACTTTTCAGACGTGTCTTTGGGAGCTGCCGTTCCAGAGCCGTTGGCATTTTGGCCTCTCCTGGAGGTGACTAACTGTGGTCAG